TCTTGCATTATAGAGAGTAAGATTACTGATTTCCCATAGAAGCTACTGCAACGCTTGATTCACCTGTCACTTGATGTTTTTAAGCTCAAAACTCTGGTAGAAACAGACAGCCAATGCTTTCCCCTACTACCACAAAGTAGTAAAATCAGTGTCTACATTAACATTTTTGTCAAAAGTTTTTATCTTATAAATGAAATAGGGGGAAAAATCAAATACATGACTTAATTACTACAAAGTCAAGAAATAAAACTGCCAGCCATGCCACCTTTCTCCCCCATCAGAATTAACCATTACCCCAGCTTACATAGTAATCACCTCCTTGTGGTTTTCTTTGTAGAGTTTTGCCACTCAAATGTGCATCCTTAAGGCAATGTAATTTTGATTTCTTTTAATCTGTAAGTCCCCTCCTCCTTCCATTTCATTTCCTTAATTTTTTCTGTTGAAGGACTTAGGTCCATTGATCTGTCAAGTTTTCCACAGTCTAGAGTTTTCCGATTACAAAATATTGCGCAGTGCAATATGTTCTTATATGTTCCCTGCAAATAGGCAGCTAGATCCGAGAGACTGGATCAGACTCAGGACAGATAACTTTGATAGGTCTATAGGTAATGTCTGACCGTGACTTTAGCAACTATTGATGTTTAATGGCCATCTATTCACTGGGGATTTCACTGATTAATTAGAATACTACTACCAACATTTCCTCTTTCCCACTACTTGATTACCCAATGGTGTAATTCACATAAGGCAGGATAAATGCTTGATTCTGTGACATTACTCATTTTTTAAAAGAAAATTAATTTAGTTATATTGTGATTTGGGTGAAAGTTTACAGAGCAAATTCATTTTCCATACAACAGTTCCTACAGATTTTGTTTCATGACATTGATAGTAATCCCCATAATGGAATAGCTCTCTTCCCACTTCTTCTTTGTGGTTACCACTTCCCTGTGTCCTTCTTTTGTATACATTCCTGCCCTCTGTGACTTTACCAGTTTTTAAGAAAACAAATTTGTTTCCTATCACCCTTTAAGATGGTCATTTTCAAAATGTCATTAGGAACTTGTGATGTTAATGCATTTCATGTGTTCCAATCTATTGCAATTATCATTGCTGAATCTCAACCTTCAAAATGTCTTTTTGACACGATCTAAGTAGTCTTTGATAGGCACCTTGCTAACTGATGTGACAATATGTTCCAGGCTCATCTTGAACAATTCTTGCCCACACCTGGAATCACCTTTCTCCACAAAGCCCTTGGGTGGTTGTTGTTTTAAGTGAGAAATGGTATTTTAAAACTATAAAATGAGTGACAGAGATGTTCAATGCTACTGGGTTGTGGGTTTTTTTTCTAGGCCATTTGAGCAGACAAAGCTAAGGAAATACATTTAACTGACACTTTCAAATCAAATTCGGGTCTGTAAAAGCTTTCCCTTAGTCTCTGTATTATACTTGTATCACCTTTCTTCCATATTGGAAATCTTGGTTCACAAAGACATAAGGGGTGATAAATTTAGAATATCCCATAATTACTCATTATTTTATCCCACATTACTTCTCAGAATAAGTTTCTAGAAAAAAGAACCTGATCATATTAAGAACATTAAAAATTCTTTGCATATGATCTGCCAATTCTCCCATTTTTCAAATAGCTACATTATATCTACGTTACAGTATTCTCTCCTTCTCAGTCCTTGTTTTGTCTTAAATTGTACATTAACCTTTTATACTTAACACCACATATTTCTAATTGTTTTGATAGTCTAAAATATAAAATTCATTCTCTAGTATGCCGCTATCCATTGCAAACTTCTATGATGATGTAATATTCTGTATCTGTACTATCCAATATAGAGCTATTATTCACATATGAAGGAACACTGGTGGCACAACAGTTAAGCAATTGGCTGCTAACCAAAATGAGGGCAGTTTGAATACACCATCCATTCAGTGGAAGAAAGATGTGGCAGTCTGGTTCCCTAAAGATTTATGGTGTTGGAAAACCTGTGGGGCAGTTGTACTCTGCTCTACAGTGTAGCTATCATAACCAATTAAATGGCAAAGGATTTGGTTTTGCATTAGTCCCATACGGCTTTGAGTATTTTGCAAGTGGCTAATGCTCCTAAGGAACCAAAAATTTTATTTAACTGTACAAAAACCCATTGTTGTCAATTAGACTCCAACTCATAGCGATCGTAAAGGACAGAGTAGAACTGCTCCATAGGGTCTTTAAGGCTGTAAACTTTACAGAAGCAGACTGCTATATCATTCTTCACAAAGCAACTGGTTGGTCTGAACTACAAACCTTTCCGTTAGCAGTTAACCACTGCACCAACAGGGCTCTTATATTTAACTGCAATTAATTCAAACTGCCACATGTGACTAGATTACCCTATTAGATAGCATAGCTCTATTACATTTTTCAGGAAAAGCTCATGGGACTATAACTTTCTAAATTCTTGCGTAAATCAGTTCAGCTGGATATAAAATCCTTGGTTCTTTCCTTGAGTATCTTAAATGCTACTTCAACACTGCAGTCAAACTTTGATTATTATCATTTTCTCTTATACTCCACAGGCTCTGTTATCTAGCTACTCAAATGACTTTTCCCTTAAAAATCCAGTCATTTTAATAGAATATTCTGATATGACTCTTCTGGATTAATATTTGGAAGTGTGCACGGTTCTCTTGCAGTATATAGTT